TAATAATAATAATAATAATAATAATAATAATAATAATAATAATAATATTGTCATCTATAAAGAATAAACAATTGATAGATGAAAAACATTTATGATTTTAATAGATCTTCCAATAAGATGAAATCATTCCTACTTTGAAAAATTGTATAGAGTATTACTCGAAAAAAAAAGACCTTGACACGGTCATCAATGATAGTTCTTTGATATGTACAAGGATGTTATTCTTCTTTTTCTTTTTTTTTTCGTTGTTATTCATTTTTTTATCATTCAGCTTAACTCGTTATTCATTTTTTCTATATCGAAATTCGTTTTCGTCTCTCATTTTTACTATTAAGATCAACAATGACAATAAGATATAAACGACAACGACCTTTTATTTCAAAGACAGTGTTAGAACACGTTTTTTCCTTTTTCTCAACCATAAATGAACACGTACATATGTAAAAATTTTAAAACTTCAAGGCCAACGGAAATAATTCATCTTATATCGTTTAGTGAACAATTCTAGACGTGTATAATATACTTTTGAATATATTCAGTATGAATTTACTCTTAAAAGTCAAGGTAAAGATTTAGTTCTATTTTCTTCAAATATTTGTCATTGTCTTGTGAATATACATACAAAGTGACATTCTTTCACGTACATATTTAATCCTAATAAGATCGAGAGAGAAAAAAAATACAGAGAGAGAAGAGCTCGATTTATCGGCATATAAACGTCGTCTATAACTGCAAGTAAATCGGCATTTTGTATTTTATTAGTCTCTATCCCATTTCTTTAATCAATACGAACGAATCTTTACGCAAATATGCGTATTAGTCTAGTACTCTTATTATGTTTTCTTATTGTTATGGTCAATTCAGCAAAGACAAAAGTAACACGTCGTCGTGTTATATCTACAACAGGACAAAATTCAACTAAAGCACCAACACCCAAATCAGCTTATGCTTATTTACGTAGTGTTCGTGGAAAACGTTCTTGTACTGGTAGATCATGTCCATTTTGGGAACGACATGGACGTTCATTTGCAGCACTTCGATGTTATGCACAACAATATCAAGAATGTACATGTCTTCATCGAATGTGTTTTAGTTCATGTATGTTTACACGTCAAGTTTGTAATGAAGAAATGGTTTCATGTTTACGGCAAATTTGCCCAAGATGTATGCCACCATCAGCATCGGCAATGTGTGCTGTTTATGATTCACTAGCTGTACAAGTAGCAAATGCACTTTCAGTTTTTGCTTGTTATCCATGTTGTCCAATTATTAACAACGTAGGAATAAATAATAATACAGGTAATTTTATATTTCATTATCTTTTTGTTTTTTTTTAAATCATTTTTTTTTTTGTCTATGAAAGGTGGTAATTCAGCTACACAAACAACGACTAGTGAGTAATCATTATTTTATTTTTCTCAAATTTTTACAATTAAAAGAATATTTTATATTTTTTTATTGAATAGTGATAGAACCTGAAAGTTCATCAATAACACCATTTATCACAACAAATGGTTAGTTAATACATATTAAAATAAATCTTTTTTCTATTTCAAATTTTGCTTCTGTGATTTGATTTCTTAGGTATGTAATATAATAACTTATAATATTACCATATATCAAATATTCATTTCTAACACAAACATAGGTGTATTCATGACTAATCTACCTGCTACAGAACCTTTGGGCGAAGGTTGATTAAATTAAACTATCCTTTGAAGAAAGATTATAGATTTGTTTTAATAGGTGAATTTAATGGCGGTGAATATCCATCTGGTACAGGTGAAGGTGATAATGATTTTACATGCACTTTTTTTTTCTTTTTAAAATTCATGTAAATATCCTAATTTCAGAAGTTCTTCCAGGAACAAACCAAAATGTTGGTAAGTATATTTTAAAATTTGCAAAAAATCTTTAATCTCTTCATAGGAACCTTTCCATCGAACAATGGAAATGGCGGAGGTAAATACTTGAAGTAAAAAATTATCATTTTTTTTCATATACACAATGATTATTTTTTGATATTTGAATATAAAAGCGAAATTCGAATCTATTGAAATTTCTAGCCTCCACTAATGTAAATGGTAACGGCATTCCAAATAGCAACGGTAATGGTTTTATTAATGGAAATGGTAACGGTATTCCAAATAGCAACGGTAACGGTTTTGTTAATGCAAATGGTAATGGAATTCCAAATAGCAA